ATCTGTGTGTGTGTTCTTCACTTTATTGCTTGTGTTTTTTCACAGCAACTGGTATTAGAGTCTTGGTTCGAGCTGAAGGAAGAATGATGGGCGGAGACAAAGTGATGACATAGGGGATCGAGAAGTTCAATGACACATATTTTGCTTATTGGAGAATGCAGATAAAAGACTACCTCTATGGGAAGAAACTTCATCTTCCGTTACTGGGAAAAAATCCTGAAAAGATGGACAAGGCGGAATATGTTGGATCGACAGGTTCTGGGGGTTATACGATTAATTCTGTCAAGATCCGCTGCCCACAATGTCGTCAAGGAGAGGACTACTGCAGATCTCAAGACGGCTTTATCAAGTATGTATGAAAAGTCATCGACGAATAACAAAGTGCACCTGATGAAAAAGTTATTCAACCTGAAGATGGCGAAATGTGTGTTTGTTGCTCTACACCTGAATGATTTCAATACTATCACAAATCAATTGCGTCTGTTGAAATTGATTTTAATGATGAGATACGTGAGCTGATATTGTTGACTTCATTGTCAATAACTGATAAGTCATGAGGATGACAGTTAGCAGTTCTGCAGGTAAATCTAAACTGAAATATGATGATCTTCGTGATTTGACTTTGACTGAGGAGGTGCGCATGAAGGATTTTGGCCAGATCTCGGGATTTGGTTTCCTAGGCATCTCTCTTCGTCATTGGTAGCTTTCCAGGTTCTTCTGGCGTGCTTTGGTTTGAAGCTCTCGAGTAAAGAGAGAGAGAGAGAAGAAGAGGAGGAGATGAGAGAAAGAGAGAGAGAGAGAGAAGAAGAGGAGGAGATGAGAGTTATCTATAAAGAGTTTTTTCTTGTAATCGTCGAGGTGATTGACATGTGTTATTCCTTGAAGTAACAAAATCTTCTGCAGCTCTGTGGACATAGACAACTTGCCGAACCACGTAAATCTGTGTGTTCCGCTATATTTTCTATTTTACGAATTTTTTTCGATCTAATTTTTTCATTTTTTTGCCTTCGTTTTTTCACAACAACATATATATTCTTAAGATCTCTTCTTGCGTTCCATAAAAGCTGTCAGAAACAATGGTAAGAAAAATCAAAAAACTTACAGCTGTTAACAAAATTGTTACTACAATAATATTACAGCGAAAATTTACTTTGTTTTAATTTATAGTAGTGAAGCATCATTATGATGCAGCCAGCCATAAACTGTTATTTTTCCTTAACATCTGCGAAGATCGAATAAAGTGAATAAAACACTCAAATTCTGGGATCCGACAGTGTGCAAGATTCTTAGATAGAAGTCGCATGCTAGCACTATGTATCACTATAAGAATTTTATGTTTTTGAAAATTTCTCTTACAATTATATCACCTTAATCATTATTATAACATCACAAATATCACTAGTTTAATTTTTTTAAAATTGAAATACACCATTTAATATATGATAGGTGGCACATATAAATATAAAAATTAAGAAAATGTAAAAACAACCCCTAATCATCTTCTACCTCCTCGTCCTCCTCCTCCTTAACTACAGACGTCATTAACCGCTTGCCCTGGCGATTTGCTAAACTGTCCGCCATACATGCTTTAGAATCCTCGACCTCATGCTGGCCTTGAATAACCTATTCACAGAACTTGTGGAGCTCTTCGTTCGTTACAACGAATTGCCTTGCAAGAGTACCATGATCCGACCACAGAAGCGCCGGAGATTTCAGCCTCGAACGCTATGCCCTTCGCATCAAGTTCATAGACCCTCCCCTTCTTATTTCTTGCCACTTGCATTCATAGCTTGACCTTGGACTATGAAGTGGTAGAATGACTAATATTGCTGCTAGCGGATTTCTGAGGTTGAGAAGTCATATGCCTCTCCCAAAGATGCTCAAACTCTTTTTACATAATTAAATGTTTAATTGTCACTTTGAATAGTAAGAGTTGAAATAAAGTTTAAAAAAGTTTTTAACTTGCTTAATTTATGGAAGTGCTCAGAGACCCACTGCTGCATCCTCGGGCCCCAATAAGCTCAGACATACAACTCCGTTACGGAGGGCTTACGACTCAACTCGTTGGCCTGTGTAGCATAGGAGAATGGTTAGCACCACATAATTACATCAAAAATTCAATTTTGATGACCTTGAAATTAATTCTCCAATTTTTCTTGTTCATTATTTTTTTATCATTTCTAGTTAAACGTTCTTATAACTTTTATCGTTTGTCTTATACTCCCAAGGCAAAACTTTGGCATAATATTTCTCATCACATCCTTTAGTGATTCACAAAAACTTCTTCATATATCTCGACACATATATATATTTATATATATATATATATATATATATTATAACCCATCCATATTAATACATTCTCCAACATTCCTTTCCACCATTTTAAAAAGCCGCGTACGTCATGCAATCGGACAGCTCCCCCACCTCCTTATTATACCCGCTGAATCCTCCCACCACTACCCGTGCTTTCAAGAAAACAAACGAAGAAGAGAAGTTGAAATAACTCTAGTATGCGATCATGGCTCAAGAAGGCTCAGAAGCATCTGTAGCCAGCTCCTCTCCTGCAGGCAACTGGTGGGAGTTGGGCACAAATTCCATGGTCCCATGGAACGCCATGAACCATGGCCGGTGGACTCAACAGACTCACTCCTCTAACCTCTGCCAAGAGGATATCTCTATATCAACAAACTCCGGCCTTAGCCTCGAAGCCTCCTCGGCCGCCGCCGGCGACCACGCAGATAATCATATATGGAACCACGTCTTGCTGTAAGCTAGCCACATCAAGCTCTAACTCTCTATTTTTTCTAATGGATTCATTAATATGTTCCATGTATATTTTATGTTGACATAATATGTATTTTTGGATTTACTAACTTTTTTCTACGATAACTGATGTAACGGACAAGCTCTACTTAGTTTATTGATATTTTTGTTTTTGAACATTTCTTCCCTTAGAGGAGTTGGAAGCAGTGACAGATCCAGTAAGAACCTCACAACACAGATGTTCAACCCAGTCTGTGATTACTTGAAGAAACTAGACAGCAGTAATTGGGAGTTCTCAAAAAGCTCTTCCTCCCTAAACTCCTTTGAAAAACAATTCAACAGCTACAACGGCGAAGACCTAATAGATTCTGAGAGACTAACGAGCAACTTGTCAGATTTGGTCAGCAATTGGTCCATTGCTCCACCAAACCCCAACGTAGATCACCAGCAAATATCACCATCTAGTTGCAATGTTTCCATGGATCCAAACGTCATGGCTTACACAACCTCTCATGTATCTCACATGAAACATGAAAATTCTGGTTTGTCTTCATTTCCCAATTTCCAATCTTACGTGCATGAGGTCATGAAAGGTGATCATTACCAGCAACATGAGCTCGGAGAGTTCAGTTTTGGTGGTCTCAACAACTCTGTTATTGGTCTCAACAACAGTGGACTAATGGCAGATGCACCATGGTCCATTCCAAGAAATTTATCAGACATAATCTCATTCGGTTCTCTAAATAATGCTTGTATGAAAAGCTCTGTTTCTTCTGAAAGCAGCAAGAAGGCAGGGCTGGAGTCATATTCATCTGTAAGATATTTAAATCAATGTTTTATTTTATTACTTACATGGAATGATAATGAAAATTTTAATCAGCATTATGGGGGCATATGATATTGTTTAATGAACACAAAAGTAGGAGGCTGATTTGTTTGTTGCAGACAAAGGGGAGTGGGAGAGGTAGTGGAACAACAAGTGAAGGAAAAAAGAAAAGAACTGATCAGTACAGCTCAGAGGCTCTGTTCAAGAAGCCCAAGCATGAGAGCTCAAGTGCGTCACCTCTCAAGGTATAGGTGTATAGCTTAGCTAGCCATTAATTATTTGTTTTTCACCAAAAAATAAACCATTTAGACAAAATTAAATGACAATTTAACATAAAAGGCATTCAAATCAACAATCATAGTTGATACAAATTTTTTTTTTGTTAATCCAACAGTTGCAGGTACCTAAAGTAAAGGTGGCCGATAAAATCACTGCACTTCAGCAAATTGTGTCACCTTTTGGAAAAGTATGTACTCTTGTAATGGGCATGTACTTGGTTTATCTTTCACATGGAAATGGTTTTGTTTATTAACCATTGTTTACAATACAGACTGATACAGCATCGGTGCTTTTAGAAGCAATTAACTATATCAGATTCCTGCAAGAGCAAGTTCAGGTACGAAAAGATTATAAAAAATAGAGAAAAAAAGGCCTATGATTTACAGCATTTATACTTCACCTGAATATATATTCCAAATTCTTATGTAACTGTTTAATGAATTAACTATCAAATTTATACATCAAATAATATGTAAAATTTTTCAACAACAAGTTTTGTTTTGCATATTCTTACAGTACAGCAATAAATACAAACTGGCTAAATCACATAAAGCTTGCATTCTTCTTGAATCATAAATATTTTTGGTCAGAAATTCTAATGAAAGTGAAATACACTTTTTCATGTATAGATTTATAACATAAAGATGTCATACATATAAATATGAAATTTTAGGCCTTGAATATGTAAATAAATGAGAGTTGTGTGACATTTCTGTAAATTACCCAAAAATAAAGTTGATCGAAATTTTCTAAAGGATTTTAGTTTTCTTTTATATAAAAGTAAGATCTAAACAAGAATTCTATCGCAAGCTTAGCTCTATGTTACTATAACTGTTTTATCATGACTATTAGGACAGGCTAGAGGTTTTTAATTAAATGCAATCAAGCTCTTGCTATTAACTAATTAAGCTTACAACTGCGCAATTCTTATGCAGCTACTGAGTGACCCATACTTAAAGTCGAGTACAAACAAGGTACAACAGAAAGTGATTTTAATGAAACAACTTTACCTCTAGATAAATCAATACCTTCTGTTTGAGCTTTACAGTAAAGTCTTCTCTTTTGCTTTGGTTTGAAAACTAGGATCACAGTTCATGGGGAAGTATGGAGAGGAAGGAGAAGGTTGAGTCAAAGCTTGACTTGAGGAGCAGAGGGCTTTGTCTGGTTCCCATATCAAGTACACCTCAAGCCTACAGAGAGAATAACGGTCCTGACTATTGGACTCCACCATACAGAGGATGCCTCTACAGATAGATGATAATGAAGATAATGATGATGATGATGATGATGATGATGATGATGATGATTAGTAAGAGCAAATTGTTAATAGCAGCAATTGGAATGTAGAGTTGCTATGCTGAAACAATGGTTATAGTAGATGAAGTTGAAATTTGTATTTTCATGCTCTATGAGGTGAATGTCTTTGTGTAGATGGAAGTAAAGTCGCTCATCATTTTTAATTTGTGGGCTTTGACTGGTAATGCTGATCTTTCTGCAAAATTTTGATATTGCTGTTTTTTTTTAATTTTTTTATTTATGTTCTTAATTGGTTTGGGCTTCTTGGAAATCATATTCCTTCACTTCGTTAGGGTTCCAAGATGGAAACTGTGGGCTGTTCAGTTTGTGTTTCAGCAACTTATGGGCTTGATGGATCAGGAAAAAGAGAGGAGGGAAGGTTTGCAAAATTGATGTGTGATCGTGAACAGTATATGTAGGCAACCACTATATTGGTTCACTTTTCTTTTTTATTTACTTGCATTCTTTGCTTATATTTTACTATTGTTTGTGGTAGAATTGAGAATTAGATTGTTGCAAGATATCACGATCTAAAATTTGGTATGCATAATATGAATGACTAAAATTTATTTTTAAATTGTTAGTTGTTGAGATTATTGTGCAGTGAGTGCTGTTTAATAGGTAATTCAGTTGACCAAATTTTCATTTGTTTTGTATTATTTAGTTTTCAAATATAAAGAATTGATATTCATTTTTTATTACTAGAGATTATAATAAATTAGCATTAAACCTAAGGAATCCAACAAAAATGGTGATTTCAAAGATTAAGTTTCATGGTAAGGCTTATTTTTTGATATGACAAAAGTTGATAATGTCCATTCTTGTTTGAATGAAAATTGAGAAATCCTTGGTAGTGATGAACTTGCTTAATGTTCTTTTGATGCTTTCAAAAGAAAGGTCTAGATTATGTAGTAGACATAAAGTATGTTGGTGTGACATTTAAGCAGCAAGCTATCTTAGGAGGTTGAAAAAGAAAAAACAACTATTGGCAGAAAATGGTGGAAATTTGGAGGAGATGTATATGACAAAAAACTTGCAATATAGGATTCAAAGTAAATTAGGTGATCATAAAATTTCAGAAGGAAAGAGGATATACAATGTTATAAATTTCAATAAAATTGCAATATATTTGGAGGACTTAGTATCATGATGAAAATAAAGTTGTAATTATACTAACTTATTCATTTCTTAAATTGTTCAAATATTGTATTAAAATCATGAAATATGCTCGAGAAAGAACCATTAAAAGACTTTTAGCACCTTTTAATGACAAAGAAATAAGAAAATAAAACCATGAAATGTAAGAAATTTAGGTTTAATTATTGGGTAGGATTAAGGAAAAATAAAATGAATAAGATAGATTATAATTATGGGGAAGGCTACTAAATTATCCTAATAGAGGAAAAAGAAAAGATAAAGGATGTGAATTTGAGGCGCTTTAGTTTTTTTCAAAGAGAGAGAGAGAGAGAGAGAGAGAGAGAGAGAGAGAGAGAGAGAGAGAGAGAGAGAGAGAGAGAGAGAGAGAGAGAGAGAGAGAGAGAGAGAGAGAGAGAGAGAGAGAGAGAGAGAGCTTTAATATTTTGGTTGTTACAATTGTTCTTGACAGGGAATAGTGGATATTAAATTATAGTATTCATTTCATATGACAATGAATAAGTTTTGTTATGATTCTTATAAGGAACTTATCAATGGAAAAGCCACATGTCAGTAATGCAAAGTATAAAGTTATTGGGATTGGGAGCACTAGATTCAAAATGGAAGGACTTAATAAGAATCCAACTGAAGGAAAACATGTAAAAAAGATTAAATTTAATTGTCTTTAGGATTTCTAAATGCTTTAGCTTTTTCTTTTAAGAGTGACAATGGTGTTTTAAATATGATAAGATTTTGCATGTATTTTATGAAGGGTACCACATAGAATAGTTTATTTTCACTACTAAGAAAAATAGCAACTAAATCAGCTAAAGTATCATTGTTTAAGTGAAACTGATAGCATATTAATTTGGCATCGTAGATTTAGTTAAATAGAAGCAAGGAATGTTATGATGAGCATTGGTGTTTTAAACAAAATTAAAACATGGAAAATCTAAAATGATATAACATAACACAGTAAATGTAAATAACACCCATCAAGTTTTATATTGTTTTCCCAACCTTTATCAACATTAATATATATCTAGCTAGACACACAAATAAGAATTTGGATATCATGTTAAATCTTGAATTGTTGAGAATTCATGCCAAGTAGATATAATGTTAGATCATGCAATGTTGTAGAAAAAAATTTGCTTTAGAGGTTGGGGGTGATGGAATTAAATTTTAGATTGTATACAATGATTAATAGTTTTGGAAGAAATAAAATTGTTTTCTATAACAATACATACATATTTTAAGAATTAATATATATGTTTAAAGATAATAGAATTTTCTTAGCTAGTTTAATAGATAATTTGACGACATGAAATTAGTTGTTTACATAGAAGAAACCAAGTTAGGAATTAGTCAACATGTTAATGGAATGGAGTAATTTTCAATACATTCCACCATATATAGAAAAATTAAACGGGTCTTAAAGTGTTATTGAAGATTGAGGTGAAAACTTTATAGATTGGATTAAACTTGGAGTTCTCAGACAATGCATAATTAGTGATTGAAAAATAAGTAGTTTAGATATGTTGTTATAAATTAACAAAGAGGTTTTGTAAATATATGAAGTTATATATCAAAATAATTCTAAGACCTAGTTTGATGATATCTAAAGTATTTTTTAGTTAAATGAATCTCTTAATCCTTAAAATTTTTTAATAATAATTTATATAGCATTGAAATATGAAATTTTTTAAGTTGCTTAAGCAAAATGATTTCATGATTTGCAAATTGAAAACATTTTGGTAATTTTTTGGGTATTGCGACTATGCACATTTTTCCTTAATAAAATGTTGGCTTTGTTCTACTAACACAAAAAAACACAAAAGAAATTGCATGAATTCTATCTACACATGTTTTTTATCATAAGGATTATTTTCATTAACTTGAAGAAAATATAATGTAGAAAGAATACATCATGTTTTATTTTCATTGCAACTATGGAAAATAATTAGTGTGAAGTTTCGTTTACAATAGCATATTACTAAATAGCTTTGGATTATATGCATGTTTATATTTATGGGCCTAGAACTATTCCAATATTATATAAAAAGTAAGGTACCTTACCTAGTTCATGGATAATTATTTAATATTAAATGTATGTTATCATTTATGAAAATTAAAAATCATTTTTGGAGTGAATCAATCAATATTGCTTATAAATAGAGGTCTCTTTACGATTTTGTATCTCAAAACTTTAAAAGAAGTCTGAACTGATAAGAATGTTGCTTATAAAAATAAAAGAATTGTTGGAAGTCAAACTTAAGTTAATATGAATTGAGAAAAAGTAAAACCATAATTCAAAAGTTATTTATCCTAATGATATCCTAATTAAGACAAACGGTATAGATTTCAGTTTAGTGAAGAAAGTGAGTTTAAGTGCATTATGAGTAAAGATGCTATAATTAAGTAGTATGAAATAATTGTTAAAATTGTGCTAAAAAGAGAGGGGAAACAATTAATTATAACGTTAATGATAAATCATAAGAATGGTATGGTTTAGATTGAATGTACATAATGAAAGTAGTAGTTATTTTATGGGAAAGAAGCTGATACTCAAAAAGAATATATTAATTTGTAAAATTAAGCTTAGAGTGATGGAATCATGAGACATATGCTGCAGAAATTTAGCCTTTTTCCGACACTTTTAATGTTTCTGACGGTTTTAAGCTCGTATATAAAATGTTTGTCGGTAATTTCAAAACCGGCTGATATTCCGTCAGCATAAATGTTTGACGGTTATTTGATGATTTAATTTTGTAGATATTTTCGAGAAAATTCGAGTTATCGGCAATAGTCGGTTTTCGGTTCCTCCGTCAGTAATAGTAACGGCAAACATGTCGGAAAAGTGTCGCACTCGACGGCCTTTTGAAGCAAGAAAAAGCATCATTTATGCGTTGTTTTTTACAACTGATGGGTTAACTGTCGGAAAAGAGTCGCACCCGTCAGTTTTTTTATGTAGGTGAAACCGTCGGTTAAGCATCATTTTTAATAACTGACGAGTTAACTGCCGAAAAAAGTGTCTCACTCATAGTATTTATGTGACACACCTTATGTCGATAGTTATGCGCTGGTCAGGTGTCGGTAAAAATATACATTGCTTAGCAGACAGTTTTACCTACGGATAAGTTTAGAACCGTCTTAAAACCGACAGGAAGCCATCAGAAACCTGTAGCATAAGTCGAGAAAATTCGAGTTATATATATATATATTTATTTATTTCGTATTTATATTATCACACCAAGCATTTAAAAAAATAACATAGCTGTCAAACAGTAAATTATCCAATCAAATAATAAAATAAATAAAATGCATTAGCTCTAAAATAAGTACATCGATGTTCATAGAAAAAGATATATCCAAATGTACGAAAACAAAAAAAAAAAAAAATTGCCCCTCCTAATCAACATCTTCTATCTCGTCAAACTCATCCTCATCGTCCTCCGCCACTTCCTTCTTCTTCAATGTTGTCGTTGCCTTGCCACACTCTCTCATCCTCTGCCGGAAGGAATCCGACTCAGCATTTAGCTTGACCTTTATGTTGGTCTCTAGCTCCGACCTCATCTTAGAGAAGCAGACCTCCATCTCGACAGAGAATGATGTAACAAGCCTAAGATCTTCTCATCTTGTACGGTAGAGGTAGAAGCTGCAGATGCACTGGTGGAGGGGTGAGCGTCGTAGGTAAGCCCCTGCGACCCAAGCCCGTAGGCACAACCCTTCTTCTTCCCTCTACATGCCTCCCTCCATAGGTCACATCAAACTAGTTTTGGTCATCAATTGTCTGGGTAGCACGGATCTATCATCGATGCAGAACTAATTGGACATTTTTCTGTAGGTGTGCTCATGTACATCAACGACAGAGAGCTCTCATCCAATTTCCACAGTTTGTTCATAAAACAAAATAGTTAGAATACATATTTGAACTATATAAAATCTTATAGAATAAATGAAATCTTACTAGCCTGCTTGTATTCCATAGGTGGGAGCACTCCATCAGTGTGCTTGGAGAGCCCCATGCCTCCACAA